AAAGGGGTGGGGGAGGGGCGGTCGCTCCGGACCAGGGGACCCTGGCCCTCTGCCTGTGGCAGATCTCATAGCTGGGAGGGGCCGAGCGTCCGCGGGGAAGAGGGCAGGCAGCGTTGTGGCTTTCGTGCCCGTTTAATGGGACTAGAGGGACGATGTAGAGATGTAGGATCCCTTGTCAGAACCTGAACTCCCGTGACTGCACAGAATCTTTGAATCGACCAGGAGAAGGGCTCCCAAATAGGCACCCCGAGGCTCTTGGCCAAGGGCATGTTGTTATATAAAAATCAAGGCTGTAGGGAGGCAGTTACTACACCCGAGGTAATTGCGTCGTAATGCAAATTGGAAAAATGGAAGGTGGAAACTTGGGAGTTAGGAGTGAGTCAGAAAGCTGGGCTGGGAAAGGGCACACTTTCTCTTCTTCAAAGTCTGGGACAGAGCAAGGGGCTGAGGAGCGGGGCCTCAGGCGGGTTTGGGCCTGCCCGGACCTCACTGAGTCGTAGGTTACAGGTTACGGGACTCAGAAGGTGGACCTGCCCACCCTTTGTTGAGAGCAAATATGGCTCCTCGTGGAGTTTATACAACAAAGGTTGGGCTGTGTTCCCAAGAGGCAGGACCGCCTTCCCCGAGGGAACAGAGGGAATGTTGGAGGGGAGCCACCTGGGCTTGAGAGAATAGCTGGTGGCACTTAAAACTCAAAGATAAAAACAAAACAAAACAAAAAAACCTCAAAGATAGATTTCGGGGTTAAAAGAAAGAAGAAACTAGGGTCTGGCCTGTTTATGGGCTCCAGGCGCAAGAGCCTGAGGCTTTAGATGCTCCTCCTGTGGGGAGCACTTCCCTGGGCGATCCTCAGAGAGAAGCTCCTGGGGCTGAATTGACCAGTGCCAGGTGCAAGGGGCCCTGGAGGGGCAGGGCCACCATGTGTGGCTTTGCAGCAGTGTCCCAGGCATAAAGGTTGTGAATTCCTGGGTGGCAGTGCTGGGGCTAGGCTCTACTCTTAGCTAGGTCCTAGGGATGTCTTGGCACAGGTAAAAACCTGTCAAGACTTTTTTTTTTTTTAAGGATATTCACAATCCTGCAGTTGGAAGCTGGACTTTTAGACCTTAACAAAAAAAGCAACTCTACTAGCATATTTTCATTTTATTTCTTTATTTTGTGAGAGTGAGAGCAAGAGAGAGAAAGCCAAGCAGGCTCAACAGAGTCTCACATCGGAGATCCCTTCCTGGCCTTCCCAGCCAGTCAGGGTAGTGGGTCCCCACTAGCCATGTAAGGACCCACTGGGGAACTGAACCCATGCTCTTCCATATGGATCTGGATCCTGCTCTGGCACCGGTTGAGCAGCTACGGTGCCACCGAGCTGGCCCTACAAATTGTTGATGGAATTACGGCAAAATCTCTTTCAGATCTGTAGTTTTCATTTTCAAATGAACATTACTTTCAGGGAAAATAACAGCTAGCGTCGCTAGAACTACAGTAAGTAAACAGAAGGCTCCTGTAAGAACATGTTGGACAGGGTACCTTATTCAGCCTGGGAGAAGAGATCAGAGAAATGATGCTCGAGCTGAGTTTGAAGAAAAAGTTAACAAGGTGAAGTGAAAGAGGGAGATGGGGAATAGAATTTCTTTTTCATTTTTGGAGAGGTTTTTGCTGTAGGGTGCGTGCGCTCGCCAGAAAGACAGAGAGAGAGACAGAAAGCGAGAAATCACCCCCCAGGGGGGATGGCCACACTGCAACCCCTTCTCCTCCATTCTCCTCTCGGGATCTTAGGCATGCACGCACATGTGCCCGGCGTGAGTTTAAGCCACTGAGTCTGAACCGCAATCGACTACATGGGAGTCCAGTGACATAGCCATTACGCCAACTGCTAGTCCCAGGGAATAGAATTTCAAGCAGAGGGTACAACATATGTAGAGGTATGAAGGTGTGGCTGTGCATGGTTTATTCAAGGCAGCTTAAAGTATGTTGGCCTAGAAAGTAGAGTACATATTGGGGAATGCTAGAAAGGGTGAGTTATGGGACCGAGATCAGGAAGGGCTGCGTGCCATAAAAAGGAGTTAAACTTATATCTGGAGACAGCATAGCGACACTTAATTTTTTTTTTTTTTTTTTTTTTTAGAAACCTTCTGTTGGGGACCAGCAGGTGGGGTGGAGGTAAAGGCGCCGGATTCCCATATGACCGACTGCATGGTTTGAGTCCTGGATCTGGTGGCTTGAAACTCACGTCAGGCATGTGTGCCCAAAATCCCGAGAGGAGAATGAAAGAGAAGGGATTCCCCCATTCTCCGGGAGGTGATTTCTCTGATTTTTCTCTTTCTCTCTCTGTCTCTGCCTCTCTCCAGTGAGTGAACACACACTATGGCAAAAACCTTAAAAAAAAAAGGAAAGGGAAAAGAAACTGTGTTGAATGAATAGAAACACTATTAGGAAAAGATTTTAGCAAAGTCACCATATATAGGATGAAAGTATTGGATAATTGGAAAAGCCATGATGCATTTTTGCATAGAAAAACAGAAAACCATATCTATCTAGCTGTCTGTTTGTCTATCCATCTATCTATACACACACACACATACACACACACACACACACACACACACACACATACAAATCATTCTTTTTATAAGGACTTTTTTTAAAAAGAATTATTTTTTATTTAACTTTATTTATTATTATTTTCCAGTTTGATCAGCCAGAGAGAGAGAAAGTGAGAAAGCAAGCCACCAGGTCTGGGACTTGAACCGTG